ATCCAATCAATCAATCAATCAGAATAGAGCTGGAAGGGACCTTGGAGGTCTTCTAGTCCAGCCCCCTGCTCAAGCAGGAGACCCTAGACCATTTCAATCAATCAATCAATCAGAATAGAGCTGGAAGGGACCTTGGAGGTCTTCTAGTCCAGCCCCCTGCTCAAGCAGGAGACCCTAGATCATTTCAATCAATCAATCAATCAGAATAGAGCTGGAAGGGACCTTGGAGGTCTTCTAGTCCAGCCCCCTGCTCAAGCAGGAGACCCTAGATCATTTCAATCAATCAATCAATCAGAATAGAGCTGGAAGGGACCTTGAAGGTCTTCTAGTCCAACCCCCTGCTCAAGCAGGAATATCAATCAATCAATCCATCAGAATAGAGCAGGAAGGGGCCTTGGAGGTCTTCTAGACCAACCCCCTGCTCAAGCAGGAGACCCTCAAATAGTACAAAGCAACAGAATCCAAGAATTTATTTACCGATTTATTTTACAAAAAAGGAGAACATCATTTTGTCAAAAGCAGAATCAGGCGCCCGATATAATAGTAATAATAATAATAATATCAATAATAATAATAATGTTAAAAAGCAACTTTATTCTACCAAAACGTGCTTTTCCTTCTCTTCCTTTCGCTTTCCCAAAAACGAGACGGCCTGAATGTTGGAAAACTGGATGGTGCTTATTATTATTATTATTTTTGGTCAAATTATTTTAAGCCCGCTTTGGGCTTCCCACGTCGGAGAGTCGATTATACGCATTGGTTACCCCTTTTTACGGGAAGCCTAAAAATGGAAAGAGAAAGGAGAGGAAAAAAAAAAAACAGAAAAGGGTGGGGGGGGTGGAAACCAAGAGGCCTATTAGTTGCCAAACTATCAACGCAAGGAAAGCTGTGTGTAGCTTGTGCGTTTGTGCAGCCTTGCGTGAGAGGTTTCATTTCGCGGGCACCAACTTTGAAATTTTTGAAAATTTTTTGCAAAGCCGGGTTCAAGGAGGGGTGTGCGAATTGGGAAGGCCGCCCTCGTGTCCCCCCCCCCGCCCTATGCAAAAAAGAAAGGAACCCTGAGACTTGTAGAAATGGGAAGGGCCACCCAGAGGCCATCTAGCCTGACCCCCACACCCCCCCACACCCCTGCCTTGAGAACGGCACGCGTTTCTCCACATCCAGCCTCCTCCTCCTCCTCCAGGAAACGAGGTCGCCGGGGAAAAGATTAGACGTACTCTCTCGTTGCGGTTGTCGGCGGTTGTGATTGTCGGTAATACTGCTGCCCTCTCCTTTCTTCCGGTTTGGGGCAGGAGCAGCCGAGGAAGCTGCCCCCCAGGATTAGCAAACTGGCCGCCGACCAGCCCACAAAGAGAGCGGGTCCGAATTCGTACCTAGAAGAAACCAACTTTGTTATAAAGAACAGAATGAGGTTCTTAACAAGGATTCTTATGGGAGGTAAGATTCAGCCGGTTCGGCCTGGTTTGAACGAACCGGTTCGTTTGTGTAGAGATTCCTTATCAATGCTGGTTAGTTAGCGAATTTGGATGGCGTGTTTGACTTACAAGAAACCTAACTGGGTTCCAGTAGAAACGAATGACGGATAGTTCTCGAATTCACTTAGCGACCGTTCTATTTACGACGATGCTGAAAAAAGGGACTTGCGGTTGTTTTTCACACTTACGATAACTATAGCATCCCCATGGCCAGGTGATCAAAATTCTGGGCAACTGACTTGTGTTTACGACGGGCGCAGTGGTCCCGCGCAATCCCCTTTTTATGACCTTTGGACCAGCCAAGTCAATGGGGAATCCGGTTTCACTTAACAACCGTGTGAGTAATTTAATAACCGTGGCGATTCACTTAGCAACCGAGGCAAGAAAGTGAGCCAAACTCACTTAACGAATGTTTCGCTTGGCAACAGAAATGCCGGGCTCTGTTGCGGTCGTAAGTTGACGACTAACTGCCTCGGCTTCGCGTTCTCTTGATTTTCAAAGCTAACGTGCTCTTGAAAATGGAGGCTCTACTCCGGGAAGCGAAGCAGCTGGTCTTCCACTCTATTTTGGCTGGATTTTTTTCCAAATCGGCCTTCATTCTTCAGAATTCAGATAATCTTCCAGAAAATATAATTTTAGAGTTTTTTGAGGTGGAGGATATATATTTATTTGTTCTTGGTGGTGTTTTTATTCATTTATTTTCAAAAAAGAAACTTGGGGCATTGAAATTCGAAATGAGGAGCGGGGTAGGAAATGCGATCCGGATGGATGACCTCAAGGGAGCCCATACTCACTTGGCATTCAGGGGGGTGCTGGGATTGAAAAAGTCGTGCGTCACCCGGGATGCATACCACGAAACGGCCCCAGCTGTGCACAGGCCTGGAAGAGAAAAAAATAAAATAAAATAAAATAAAGGAGTGAGGGGGAAGTTACAGGTAGTCCTCGAGTTACGACCATAATTGAGGCCACCATTGACGTTGTTAACTGAAACATTTGTTAAGGGAGTTTTGCCCCATTTTATGTCTCAGCACCCTTATTTCTTCCTCCCTCTCTCCTACTTTCTCTCCTTCCTTTTCTCCTTTGTTCTTCCATCTTCCCCTTCTGTCCTTCACTATCTATTTTTCTTTCTTTCTTTCTTTCTTNCTCCCTCCTTTTTTCTTCAGTTCCCCTGGCGACCAGCTCAAAATATAGAATATAGAATATAGAATAGAATAGAATAGAATATTGGAATGAAGAATAGAATAGCATGGCACGGCATGGCATGGAATGGAATGGAATGAATGGAATAGAATAGAATATTGGAATGAAGAATAGAAGAGAAGAGAAGAGTTGGAAGGGACCTTGGAGGTCTTCTATTCTAACCCCCTGTCTAGGCAGGAAACCCTAAACCATTTCACATAGCTGGTGAAGAGAAGGGAAGAGAAGAGGAATAGAGTAGAGTAGAGTAGAGTAGAGTAGAGTAGAGTAGAGTAGAGTAGAGTAGAGTAGAGTAGAGTAGAGTAGAGTAGAATAGATTAGAATAGAATAGAATAGAATAGAATAACGGAAGGGACCTTGGAGGTCTTCTAGTCCAACCCCCTGCCTAGGCAGGAAACCCTACACCACTTCAGACAAAGGGTTATCCAACCTCTTCTTAAAGACTTCCAGGGGAAGTTTTCTTCTTCAAAAACTTGAAGGAAGTTTCCCCCATCCCACTCTACCTTTCCCAAACCTCACCATCTTTGATCGTTGTAGATCTGGTGTGTCTCACTTTGTGACACACTCCCACAACGGCTGGGCTGGCACCAAGCTTGTGGTTTTGCATGCCTTACTTCCCCCCCCCCCAAAAAAAATCTGCATTTTGCACAAGTGAGGCCCCCCTCTGCCTCTTATTCACGCTGAAAAAGAAAAAAAAGAGAAATAAAAATATTTACCTGGACAACGGATAGACGGACGGATGGACGGTCCGAGAAACTGCTCCGGTTTGTAGAAGCAAAGCTACCCGGAGATAACCCCCACAAAAAATAAAATTGGGGTCTCAATCAAATGCAATATTTTATGAATCAGGAGTCAGATTTGGGCCGGGAAAACGGGCTGGTGGGAAAACAGAAATCAATCAGCCTTGATTTCCGAAATCCACTCCCCGTCCTCGTGATGGGAAATGATTCGGAGGGGGGCTTAAAACGCTGCTTTCTTATGTTGGTCCAGCTCTGGGAATTGAACTTGGGACGGTGAGCTTTTTTCTCGCAATTAAAACGCTTACGGATCAGGGAGCAGCAAGGAACTGAAAATATAACCCCAGCTCAGTGGTTGCTCCAGCTGTTGTCCTTTGAAGGCGCAAGGGGGGGTTAGTGTATGGGGGGGTGTTATTAATTATTCCAGTTAATTTGTCTCAAAAATAATAATAAGAGCGAGAGGTGTGTGTGTACCTCCTGTAGGAAATGGGGGTTTTTGAAGAGTGAATGCGTGGCTGGCTACAAATCTTTTCCCTCCCTCCATTGCTTTGCTTCTTCCTTCCTTTCTTACTCTTCCCTTCCCTTCTCTCCTTCCTCCCTTCCTTTTCTATCCTCTTTCCCTTCTCTATCTCCTATCTTCCTTTCCTTCCTTCCTTTTCTACTCTCTCCTTCCCTTCTCTATCTGCTTCCTCCCACCCTTCCCCTTTCTATCCTCTTCCTCCCTTCTCTCTCTCTCTCCTTCCTTCCTTTTCTATCCTCTCCCTTCTCTTCCTTCTTTCCTTTCCTTCCTTTTCTACTCTCTCCTTCCCTTCATTATCTGCTTCCTCCCTCCCTTTTCTATCCTCTCCTTCCCTTCTCTATCTCCTTCCTTTCCTTCCTTTTTTACTCTCTCCTTCCCTTCTCTATCTGCTTCCTCCCTTCTCTCTCTCCTTCCTTCCTTCCTTCCTTTTCTATCCTTTCCCTTCTCTGCCTTCTTTCCTTTCCTTATTGTCCTTTTCTACCCTCCCCTCCCTTTCTCTATCCCCTTCCTTCCTCCTTCTTTCCTTGCCTTCTTTCTTTTTCCACCTCCCCTCCTCTCTATCTCCTTCTTTCTTTTCCTTATTTTTCCACCCAATCCTCCTCTCCTTCCCTTTTCTACCCTCCCTTTCTATCTCCTTCCTTCCACCTTCTCTCCCTCCCTCCTTCCTTTCCTTCTTTTTCTACCCTCCCCTTCTCTCTCCTTCCTTCCTTTCCTTCCTTCCTTTTCTACACTCCTCTTCTCTTCTTTCCCTCCTTCCCTTCCTTCCTTTTCTATCCTTCCTTCCATCCACCTTCCCTCCCTCCCATTCCTTCCTTCTTTTTCTACCCTCCCCTTCTATCTCCTTCCTTCCTTCTTTCCTTCCTTCCTTCCACCTTTCCTCCCTCACTCCCTACTTCCATTCCTTCCTTCTTTTTCTACCCTTTCCTTCTTTCCTTCCTTCCTTCCTTCCTCTCATTCTTTTTCTACCTCTCTACTTCCTTTCGTTCCTTCTTTTTCTACCCTCCCTTCTCTCTATCTCCATCCATCCTCCCTCCGTCCCTCCCTCCCTCCTTCCCTCCCTTCCTTCCTTCCTTCCTCTCATTCTTTTTCTACCTCTCTACTTCCTTTCGTTCCTTCTTTTTCGTTTCCCTTTTG